AGAACATAACATCGTCCACTGCCATCCCACTGAAATTAAAACAAAAAATTAGAACTTTAATCACAACCATCATGAAAATAGGTATAAACTAACCATAATCATTAAATACGATAAAATAACTCACATTACGATCCGGACACTTGTAGAAGATACGATCCTTGTTGGGACCCTCCTTCTTCACTCGGTACTCCATCACAATCTTCGTCTCATCACGACACTTGCCGCATGGAATGAGAGGGAGAACCGGCCTAAGTCGCTTTGGAAACCCATGAGAGGCCGAGGACCCGGAAGCAGTTGCCATCTACTCTCTATACTCATTTTTTAATACACTATAAATTTCTTATTTTATAAACAAATAAAATTAAGAAACTATAAAATTATCTATATCTCAAAAACATATTTTAATAAATAACCATCCGTACTAGTTGACCTTGCTTACGTGATCATCTCGGCGAGCATTTCTCCACCGGACGGCACCGTACTTGATCAAGGAAGAGCTCCGATTCTACGAGGAAGGAAACACGGTCTTCCACGACCGTTGTCGCTCTCCCTCGTAGAATCAAAGCTCCTCCTTGATATCCGTTACCGCCCGGCAGAGAACATGCTCGCCGAGCTGAACACGGTCCGCAAGTTCAACTAGTACAGATTTTCTATAATTTTCTAACTATTTTCTAAGTTTATATTTATATATATACTACGTTTGGGTACGGTGATTGACAGACTACTGCGATGATATCGGGACATGTGAATAAATAACCATCCGTACTAGTTGACCTTACTTACGTGATCATCTCGGCGAGCATTTCTCCACCGGACGGCACCGTACTTGGTCAAGGAAGAGCTCTGATTCTACGAGTAAGGGAACACGGTCTTCCACGACCGTTGCTGCTCTCCCTCGTAGAATCAAAGCTCCTCCTTGACGTCCGTTACCGCTCGGCAGAGAACATGCTCGCCGAGATGAACACGGTCCGCAAGTTCAACTAGTACGGATTTTCTATAATTTTCTAACTATTTTCTAAGTTTATATTTATATATATACTACGTTTGGGTACGGTGATTGATAGACTACTGCGACGATATCGGGACAAGTGAATAAATAACCATCCGTACTAGTTGACCTTGCTTACGTGATCATCTCGGCGAGCATTTCTCCACCGGACGACACCGTACTTGGTCAAGGAAGAGCTCTGATTCTACGAGGAAGGAAACACGGTCTTCCACGACCGTTGCCGCTCTCCCTCGTAGAATCAAAGCTCCTCCTTAATGTTCGTTACCGCTCGGCAGAGAACATGCTCGCCGAGATGAACACGGTCCGCAAGTTCAACTAGTACGGATTTTCTATAATTTTCTAACTATTTTCTAAGTTTATATTTATATATATACTACGTTTGGGTATGGTGATTGACAGACTACTGCGACGATATCGGGACAAGTGAATAAATAACCATCCGTACTAGTTGAACTTGCTTACGTGATCATCTCGGCGAGCATTTCTCCATCGGACGGCACCGTACTTGGCCACGGAAGAGCTCCGATTCTACGAGGAAGGGAACACGGTCTTCCATGACCCGTTGCGCTCTCCTCAGAGAATCAAAGCTCCTCCTTGACGTCCGTTATCGCTTTCGGCAGAGAACATGCTCGCCGAGATGAACACGGTCCGCAAGTTCAACTAGCTACTTTAACCTTCTTTCATGTAAATATGCAAGCTTGAAGTGATTTTGAGCTCAAATTGCTTACAAATGAAAAAAACCACAATAAAGAACCATATATATATATATTGAATAAAATGAGATAAGACAATGGTGAAAAATGAGAGTATGAGATTGGTAACCTTTACAACTGAAGAATCGACGGAGGAATCGAAGAATGGATGGAGGAACAATGGAGGGAGGGAGGAAGCAAGAACACTAGTGCAGTGAGCTTCAAAATGTGCTGAGCTCGGGCTCGGGGAGGAAGAAGGAGACGGCCGGGATATAAAGGGGGGACCTTTAGTCCCGGTTGGTGGCTCTAACCGGGGCTAAAGGTAACTTTCCAACCCCGGGCGCAGCCACGGCCCGGGAGTAGACCTTTACTCCCGGTTGGAGCCACCAACCGAGAGTAAAAAGTATTTTAGTCGGTTGGTGGCTCCAATCGGGACTAAAGGTCCTCGCCCACCTCCGATCTGGCCTTGAGAGCCGTTAGGGGGGACCTTTAGTCCCGGTTGGAGCCACCAACCGGGACTAAAGGTATCTCTAGTCCCGGGCGCAAAAAATATCGGGACTAGAGCCCATTTTAACCGAGGATCAAATGTCTGTTCTCTACTAGTAGAAGGCAATGAACAACCAACTTTTCCTACTCGCTGCCAAAACCTCGATCACTCGGCGTGGCTTAAACGACAGTGTTGCATGATCACAAACCAAGGTTAAGGTGCTCCTCTCTGCCGCCATTTGGCAGTCATGTCACCCTCAGAATTAAGTGAAGCTCACGTTTTCTCTGAACATCGGTTGATCGGGGTACGATTCAGTAGGAAGAACAACACCTTCTCCACAGTCTGTTCGTTTCATCGTAAACGATCGTGGATTATTTACTGCTGGCTGGTTTGGTGTGAGAGAAAAATACTGTTCCAGTTTATAATCCACGATCGTATACGAGCAAGCGAACATGTTTTCCCAAATTGCCATGCATGGGGGAAAAAGGTTTTCCTCTTGGGTGCATGTGCAAGCTAGAACCCTAGCTAGCTAACCCTGTACTTCATGCCTCTCTTCTGGAGCGACAGATCACGCATGCTTTCATTGTTCATTAGGGCTAACACACATGTCACTGACTGAATCCTAAGCAAAAAGCTTAAATGGGTGTGGTTTGTAGTGCAGTTGAGCTGTACTGTGGTGTGAGTGAGAGACACTTAGAAAATTTATTAAGTGGTGTGGACCACCGCCGTGCCATGGATGACATTCCATGCTAGCTGGGAGGTGGTGCTGGATCACAATCCATTTATTAGTACGTATAAATGAGGTATAATTTGGACTAAAACCTGGTTGGGTCATGCATGCATGCATGTTTTCCTTCTGGTCCACACGGCAACACAAGCTCTGATGTGGTCCAGCCCAGTTGCACAAAGGGTAATTAGTAAGCTTTTGTTATCGCACTTGGTTTATTCCTTCTATTTAGCTTTTCTAAACTGATGATATAGGAAACGCCTTGCACGTTTAAATTTTCGCTGAAAATTTCCAACTGGAAAATACAATAGCCAACAATATAGAATTTAAATTGTCATTTTAAAACCTTAATGAGCTAATTGATTTTTGAAAGTCGTCCCAACCAACTCAACAAATGGGTTTTTCGCAAAACTAGAATGGGTTGAGATAGAAATTAAAATCATATACCAAACTAAAAATATTTTGTTGGCTAAAAAATTAGGGAACTTTTGAAGAATATGACCCAATTCAACCATCCTGTCAAGATTCTAGCGGCACGATGGTACCTTTGTTTTGTTCCTCCTCCAAACTAAATGTTGTTATAGACCGGTGATTATAAGAGTCTCAGTAGAGGTCTTGGATTTGACTCTCCGTGAAAGCGAATATTTAAGAGGTTTAACGGCGTTGTGCATTCAATGGTAGGCGACGTTGCCATCGACAACACGTGGATCCAATCTTCGTATCGGAACCAAGTAGGACACGAACACGTGAACTCCGAGGACTTCGTATCGGATACAAATACGTTGATCCGGTCTTAATATGAGAACCGGGTAGGATACGGACATGTAAGAAATATAGGATAATTAGTATCAGACACGGACGTGTGATGAGGGATCAAAATGTCTTATCACCAATGAGATGATGGTGTTATAGTCTTTTTATTTTATTAGGTGTGGAGAAGAGATTTGCGGGAGTAGTAGCTAGCCGATTTCCAGAAGCGCCGCCACATCATCGCAGCAGCAGCAGCTCTCTACGCCCTATTTGATTGGCTTATAAACCGTACTTTTTCAATTAATGAATAATATTTTTTTTTTATCATAAATTAACCCACGATACTTTCAGTCATACCTTATCAGCCACGCCCCGCACTAGCCGTCCACGCCGTTGGCCGTGCGGAAAGCAGCAAGGCAAGCTTACCTGACGACACGGCCGCACGGGTCCCGTACGACCAGCGCAGCGCAGGGCGGCTCGCCGGAGACGACGACGCGACCCGGGAAAGCAACACCGGTCACAGGCGGGGCGGCTACATCATGGTGTTACCACGTAAGCTCCACGTCTTCTAGAAAACACCCTGAGGAACGGCGGTTTTGCATCACACAAGCCTGGGCTCGGATGCACGGCCCCTGCCGATCTTTTTTTTATATACCTCGACGTACAAGCTGTAGTATCCACACCTCACACACGCATACCACGTACTCACATCACCCCAAACGCAAGCTAGATCCTACAGCGAGCGTGACGAGCATGTCACCCTAATATCGTGGGATATCCGCGTGTGAGGCAGTAGAAAATTATTTGCTTGCACGAAGCAAGCTGTGCAGAACCGGGGTTCGAACCCCGGCCTGGCCGAGCTCCCACCAGAGCTTTGCCACTGCGCTACACGCGCGCCTGCACCTGCACCTGCCGATCCTTTTGTCCCCGCAGGGGGGGTCCTCCTCTCCTCTCTCGCCGCGTCGAAGCTACTCCTATATGTGCTCGTCTCCGAGGTCTTCTCCCTCTCTAATATCTCTCCTAGTCTCCTCTCCTTGCTGCCCCGTGCCATGCTGCTACTGCTCGCTCCCCTCTTCCACGTCTAGCAACTTCTTCCGCTCTTCCCCCCCTCCAGCTCCCTCTCTCTCTCCTCGCATCTCATCACATCTCCTGCTGTAGCCCACACAAGCGGTCGTCGCGTCTGCGGTCAGCCGCCTCTATCTGACGCGCGCGCACGGCCGCGCGTCCCCGGCTGCCCCTCAGCGAGGAGGGACTGGGACTGAAGGAGCTAGCGAGGCGGCGCGCGCGCTAGGCCGGGTCGGCTGGGGCGGATGGCATGAGCCGGCGGCAGCCCGGATGGTCCCGGCTCGGAACCTGCAGCCGCTCCTCCGCGACGAGCATGCCACGCCCTGCGCCGCCGCCGCCGCTGCAGGCCTCGGCGTGACGCCGACGGCTTCGAGCCACATGGCACAGGAACCCATCGACAAGCACCACAGCGAGCCGACCAAGCCGCCGCCGCCTCCGCCGCCGCAAGAGAGGCAGGAGGCGGACCAAGACACGCGCCACCACGCTCACGCCCACGGGGAGCAGCAGCAGCAGCTCACGCTGCGGCCGCTCCAGCCCGCCGGCAGCAGCCACCAGGAGGTCGCGGGTACCAGCGGGAGCAGCAGCGGCGGGAGCAGCGGCAACGGCGGGGCCGGGGACTGGCTCCGGCTCAGCCTCGCCCCGGCGTCCCCCGGCTCCGCCGCCGGAACGCAGCCCGGTGTCGTCTTCGCACCAGACCACGCGGCGGGGGCGGCGCCGTCGCCGCCGCCGCTACTGCTGTCGTCGCAACCGCAGCCGCGGACGACGACGACGGCGGAGGCGCTACCGGTCATGGGCATGGGCGTGCCACCGGGGCCCTTCCTGCACCAGGCCGCGCCCGGCATTCCGCAGGCGTCGATAGCCCTGCCCGTGCCGCGCGCCGGGCCGCCCTGGCTGCCGCCGTGGAGCCCCTCCGCGGTGGCGACACCGCCGCCGTCGCTGATCCCCTTCGGGTTCGGGCACCGCGCGTTCTACACGCCCGCCGCCGGCCTCGACATGATCAGGGTCGTCCTGCCGCCGTTCGCCGTCGCCGCGGCCGCCGGCGTCTGGTTCGCGCTCCAGGCCGCGCCGCACCAGTGAGTGTTGCACTAGTAACCATGCGAGCATTTCATGTGTGGTGTGGTCTTGTGTTCGTCGTCACCTCTCTCTTCTATCGATCTCCCCGGCCGGATACTGTCGGTGGATCCGATGAATCCCTGCAAAATGTGGCGCATTCTTGAGGATTTTTTGAATCGCTTATTACTTTTGGCCGTTATTTTGAATTCAATAGATTTTTCTCTTTGTCACTTGCTTTTTTCCCCTCAAATTAACTTGGAGCATTGTTGGGCATCCTTTCGATTGATTCGTGCAGAGGGAGGGAGCCATTCTTGCCTCAGATTCCGAGAAGCTACCTACGGATCAAGTACTATTTATATCTCTCTCATCTCATACGCACCGTTCGTTCTTTAATCTGAATTCGATGCATCAATCAAGCATGGCATCCTGCATTTGGATTAGTGTACGTTTTGTCAATGCTAGCACAAATTTCATTCATGCAGCACAAATTAAAAATCACATGCTGCAGCTGCAGGTATTTCTTTTATTATTCTTTGTATTTATAAAACTAATTGACCTTGTGATGTTGTTGTTGCAGGGACGGAAGGGTGACAGTCAGGCTGCTGATCAAGTACCTGGCCGGCAAACTTGGATTGGAAGACGAATCAGAGGTGCGGTTTATTCGTATTCATCACAATTCCAATCTCCTTGAAGCGTTGTTTTGGTTTTTTTTTTCTTGCTTGCTTGCTTCTACACATGTATGCATGCTTCTCTTTTCGTTGTGTGGTGCTTTTTTTTCTATCTTTATTCCGTTTTTTTTTCTCTTCACACATTAGCTCCCTCATGGTGCATGTTTGCCCCCGGCCCCTTGCCTTGCTTTCCCAACATCGGTCATGAAAGGAACTCGAGAGCTAGAAAAGGGACTAGTTGTACCATACAGATGTGGGACTACACACACTTATATGTTTAACATATATGCGCCCATATTTTCAGTGTGTTGTTTGTATAAAATATACATGTATGTTTAAGTTTGTGACAACATCACAACATACATGTAAGTGAGTGAGTGAGTAGCGAGGCTGTTGTAGGTGAGGGGTGTATGTCCAGGGGTGGCACATCACCCCTCTCTCACCACCACCACTTGACAAGAGAGTAGCTCTCCTCTCTCTCTCTCTCTCTCTCTCTCTCTCTCTCTCTCTCTCTCCCCTACTAATCCATCCTAGAGAGAGAAAGTGAGGGGGGTTAGATAGATGGTTAGTTATCACTGGCTAGTGATGGACCTTGGCAGCTTGCTGCTCCGTCCCTTGTGCATTGCTGGGTGCACACACGCACAAAGGCTTTTTGGAGCTGCGTAGTAGTAGCCCCCATGGACACGCCTTTCTGTTCTTTCTTTTCCTATGCACCTCTAGGCTCAGAAAATGGCCTGTAAACTCATCATTGTTCCCGAGCCTTTTCTCCTCCGTTCGTTCTCTTTTGCTTGGCTTCCTCCCCTTCCTAGCAATAGCTCCCGTGCAGTAGTAGTAGTAGTGCAATGGCGCAGATGGCGAGCGACCGAGCGTGTGTACAAGAACATGCATGCAACAGAGCTACGACAGGGGCTAGCTAAAGAAAGCTAGCTGTCTTCATCATCTCATCCATCTGTAAATATATATAGGGTACATGAGTACATACACGTACAGCTAGTGCCTCTGCTGTGTGGCTGTATTGCGTGAGCAAAAGTATATTGCGAGTCTTGAGCGAGATAGATGGTGCCCTAGAAAGAGCCTCCTTCACCTACCATGCATCACTGAAAGCTATGCACCATCCTCACCTCTAGCTAGCTAGTAGCTACCTCACCGTATGGCATGCAGGAAGCATCAAGTAGGGCTTTCGAGTGTCTTCCCTCCCTCCTCCTCCTCCTCCTCTCTCTCTCTCTCCGGCCGTATGCATGTGTGTGTGCAGAGAGAGAAAGAGAAAGAGAGAGTGTATGTGCACGAACAGCACCTTCTCTCACTCTCACACACACACCATTTCTTGCTGCAGCTCCATCACTGGGGGATGGATCCTTTCCATAATGGCTTGGAGATCTTGCTTCCTTTTCCACTCGATAGGCCTACCTTGCAAGCCTGCATATGCTCTCTCAGCAACTGCAATGATAGGCTTCTTTTTGTTCAGGACTACACACACGCATGTATATACATACATACACGCATGGCCGTAACTTTGTTTTCTTTTGATTGTCCACATTTGCACTACCATATATATATATACTGTCTTCTTCCAAAAATATATACATGCATGCCTGATCTTTTTCACTTGCCTAGCTCTGTTTCGTCTACTCGTCTCTGTGTTGATCAATAATCTCATGCAAATTAAGTGCAAACATGAATAATTGTCATGCACGGAATCTCCTTTCTTGTAGATTAAAACATAAATACTTCTACCTGATAGTGCTAGCTATATTGCTAATATATACCTGCACGCACAGCACAGCTACCGGAGTAGAGATGCCATACCCAATGATGAAAGGCCAGCTAACTTTTCAGGTGGCTAATGCGCTTGCTACTGTGCAATGTACGAATCTGATCTTAGAAAACGAGTGTCGTTGGTGTAGCCGTATAAGCAACAATTAGATATGAAAGATGAGTATGGATACAAACATATATAACTACTAGAGTACGGGCCTGCAGGGTGTATATATATATGTGTGTGTGTGTGTGTGTGCAGATTAATCTCTGTGTCGAGGAATTGACGGGCTAACCACAGGTTTGAAGCGTAAGTACGTGGTATCAATATATATAATACTTTGTTCTAATGTGTGTCAGACTGGCAGTACATACAAGTATACATGACTGTACATGCATTCACCAGTGACTTTCAGTCTTCCAGATCCTAAGAAGCTTGATTGACAAGATTATTAACTGAAATTAGTGTTTAATCAAAGCTATGTAAATTAAGGTAGAAACAATCAGTAAGTAATGCCTAGTGGTACTAGTTAATTGAATCCAAGTGATTACTGATTCCATTTTTTCTTTTCTGAGGAATTAGTAGTTCTCTGTGCAATCAAGGTAGCTTATATAGGGAAAGTGAAAAAAAGACTCATCTCAATTAAATTGTTGGTTATCCAAGCTAAATGTCAGGGGCTTAATTAAAATTTTGATCATCTGTCAATTACATAATGAACAAAGTGGGTTCAACTTGGCATGGTTCTTTATAGAACACATAGATGTAAAATTTGCTCACATTTTTGTATATTTTTTCCAAGTTCTGAACTAAACACCATGCAAGGGTGTCCGAGAAAAGTTAATCTTTATTATTTTAGTTTCCAAGGGTGTCCGAGAAAAGTTAATCTTTACTCCCTCCGGTTCTCAAAAGCAAGTCGTTTTGAGATTGTCTTAAGTCAAATATTTTAAACTTTGACTACAAATAACTTCTTTTGGGTTAAGTTTGAAAGTATGAAAGTGATGTAAGTAGATTCATCTCGAAATGTAGTTTCATAAAATTATATATTAACTATATTTTATAAATATTTTATAGCAAAAAGTTACAGTCAAAGTTGTTTCTTAAAGACCGTGTCGATGTTCAAAACGACTTGCTTTAGAGAACCGGAGGGAGTATTATTTTAGTTTCAGCTATGACCATAGCTCCAAACAAAGATGAATATAATGCACTAATAAATTGTACTTGTTCTTTCATCTGCGTTCAATTAATTGCATTAGTAATTTATTACCTGAGGGATTGGTTCTGTTAATAGGAGAACATGATGATAATATAATAATACACAAAATGCAAGTCAAGTGATTAATGCCTACAAAATTCCTGGTGTCTAGAATGATTCCAAGAACAAGTTAGATCCATAATTTGACCTTGTGAAAAAGGAACTGTAGCATCACTATTCACTAAAGCCTTATTTGGATGCGCATGTATTCATCTTAATCCACATGTGTTGATGTGGATTGGAGTAGAATTAAACTAAGTTCCATTCCAATTCGCTCCAACACTCGTGGATTGAAGTGAATACACATGCATCTAAACAAGGCCTAATATAATATGCTACTTACCTATTTCAAAAATGAAGTGCTTACAATTCTGAAGTCCTGCATGTATGATACCATTTTTTTTGTCAACTGTCATCCACGATGTGTGCACAATGTGATTATATATATTATATATACAAGCTGAGCATATGCAGCTAGATGGAATAAATGATTTTATTTAATTTGTAGCTATCATCTGGGGTCCTGAATAGCCTAGCAACCTTCACCACCGACGCCATGCAGAGCAGTTTCTTTTTCCTATACAAAGATGCCATGCATGCAGAATAAACATTTCTAAGATCAACTTTGTCTCTACCAACCAATTATATATTATCTAAACTTTTATCAACAATAATTGAGGCAGGAGGTAGTTCTCCTCTGTAAATTAAAAAGAGAGTGAGGTTCCTGGTTTTACTAGGTTGGAACATGTGTCAATCGTGAGTGGTGAAAGGCCCGCATGACTAGCAAGGGATATGATGCATGTGGATTTAACAATGCACAAGAATATGGAATGTGACCATGCATGCTTTTTGTTATTAGGATATTGATGAGGGATTAGTGACAGGGCCTTAGCTAATCAAAAAGATTCCATCTATTTATGCTTTAATATAGTAGTGTACTGGAAATCATCACCAAACGGCTCCTCCGGCCACTTTCTATATGCTTAGGAATTGTACTTTCTTCTTTGTCTCTACGTACTAGCTTGATGCTGGTTGCTATCCTAGTCGTGAAATTAATGCAACGGGCATCTAGCCATCACTACAGACAATTCTGAGACAGGGAATTTGTGAGTGGTAGGATGCATGCATCGACTGATTAAAATGATATAACTACTCAAACAAAATACTGTTTTCCCCATAATAAATAAAAGAATATGAAATGAGAGTGAATCCAAGGCATCTCATGTAGCATGTTTATGAAATTTTCCACTAAATGGCCGCACTAGTAAGTAGTAACACGCCTTAGTAATTGCTTTTTGATGCGATGATCGAGTGCAATAAGCTCCTTTATTTGCATGGCAGTATGCTGTCATGCTATCGTTGAGCTTACCTCAGACCTCACTCAGTTGTGAAGCTAGCCAAACTATGTATTGTCTATTTGATGTAGAGATGCATGATCTAACATATTTTTTCTTTCACTTCACACATCAGACGGCAAAGCTTAGATAAAGAGTAGGGTAGCTACTAGATAGGTTAGATTAACACTACTAGCAGCAGCTGGGGTTATGTGTGTGTGTAGTTGTTAGATGGCAAATACAAGGACGTTAAGTGCCGCACTTTGAGTGGAATATATAGTATTAGACACACACACGCATATATCTTAGCTATGGCCAATGAAATGCATCCACAAGAACACTGTAGTTTTATGCCCATATGATTGGCTTCCGATCCAAGTGAGAGAATGTGCATGGGAGTGGGGACAGGCAGAGAAAACGCATGCATAGTTTGTGTGGAGAGAAAGAATAATATGGCAAGTTGCATATGGTGAAGGAGTACTATACCACTACCAGAATGATCGAAGGGAAAGTGAGGGAAGAATAGAGACGGGTGAGCAAAAGCCAAGAGGTACGGTAGAGGAGGACCACTATAGCTAAGCTTGCATGCAGTGCTTGCAATTCCCTCATGCATGGAGCGGACGTGTCCTGGTTGATTTGT